CGCGGAATAAATGCGAGGTCCTCCGAGGTGGCCCGAAACGTCAGTCTCTCCTGCATGAGTGCACCCTTTATGGTCAAACCTTATTCTAATTAGTCGACACTTCAAACTATCTAGGCGCTACTCTTTGATCAGACCTCAGTTGGAACTGTCTTAGTTGTCTGTCTCAGTTGCAAATAGTACTCTTGCTTTCCTTAGACGAAATCTACAGGTGAATTCGCCAAAGATCAAGACCTTAGATTTCTTTGGCTAGTTGGACTACTACTCAAATATGCAGCTACAGTCTGGGATCCTCACACGGATATAAACATCAGGAAAATTGAAATGGTACAGCGCCTTGCTTCCTGCTTTGTAGTTAGGAATTATGATCGTACGGCTAGTGTAGGAGCAATGCTTGATGAGCTGGGATGGAAATCTCTTGCAATTTTCTGCTTCCGAATACTAGAGAACGCGTGAAGGGCCTTTTCTTTTAAGTGTTCGAGTGCAAGTGTAAAGTTTCCCGTTGGAGTGAAACGTGTACCTAAATAAGTGTATTCTTTTACAATTTCAATTGACTCACTGCCTATGTTGAATTTGATATCAATAGATTTCTTTGGGCGTTTTTGGGATATTATAATTTTTGTTTTCTGCGGATTAATTTTTAGCTTCCATTTGCCACAATTCAAGGACAGCGCATTTAAACAGTTCTGTAATCCGGTTTTCGATCTTGATAGAATAACTAAATCATCTGCGTACAAAAGTGTATCCCATTTGGAAGAACAAATGGGTCAGATCACGTGTTTTCGAATAAATGTGGCAGATTGTTTAAACAGAGGTTAAATAAAGGGGGGCTTAAAAAACAGCCTTGGGGTACACCTCTGGAGTATGAAAAAGACTGAGTTTTGTTTTCATCGATTTCGATGGAACAAGTGGGGTTGCAATAGGGGCTTTTCATGAGGTTGTACAAGTGTCCTCCTACATTCTTTTTTAGCAGCTTATAAAATAATCCTTCGTGCCAAACAGAATCAAGCGCATTACGGACATCTACGCCGAAACAAGCTCAGACTTTTTCCTTGAGATAATGCACATATTTATCTATTACGGTCCTTAGAGTAAAAACATGGTCTGCAGTGCGGTTTTCAGGCAAAAAGCCAATTTGGGAATTATGTAATATCTTATTTTCCTCAAAATACAAGCAAAGTCTTCGATTTAAAATAGGACAGAATAGTTTTCCAAGGCAACTAGAAACACATATACCTCTGTAATTTGTTGGGTCACTCTTGTCACCAGATTTGTAAATTGGGGTTATAAGGCCTTGACACCAAACATCTGGCATTTTTTCGGATTGTAAAATGAGGTTAAAAAAAATAGGCATTAGAGGTTCAAGGCTTGCTTTGATCATTTCATTTCGTATTTTGACAACAAATGGGGATTTCTTATTTTTTAATTTCTTAGCTGCTTGACGTATTTCCCTCTCAGTTATCTCATAATCGAAATGGGTAAAATGTCCCTTTTCTTGTTCTAAAGAATTTACTTCCCTATAGATTTCATGTTCATGCCTGAAGTTCGTCGGTAAATACAATGCAGAGATTGGAAATGGTCAAGCCATGATTCTTCTGAGATTGGGGCAGGAACTGTACATGTTTTATAAGCTGCACTATGGCCACGCGGCAGCAGATGGAATGCAGCAGCCAATCCCAATGCAGCAGGCTAGCAGGCAACTGAATTCAAACACATTTATTACGCTGTACCATATTCGAGAACTATCACAAGTACTCGTTTTTCCCAAACACGATAAGGGAATGGAACTCATTACTCGAAGATATTGCGACCATGCCGAATTTGGACTCCTTAAAAAAAAAACACTATTTTAATGACTGTATCCCTCTGTGTGTTTTAATTAATTGATTAACTAATGTTTATTCACTTGCTCACTAGTTTGTAATTGCACATTTATAAGCGGATTTACTTACTTTTTTAATTTAAAGAAACCTCACAAGAATCTTCATTTTTGAAGTAGGTCGGGTTTCGTAAAAGAAGAAGAGGAAGATTAAATGCCGAATAATTGTCGACACTGCTAACTACAACTTCTGTAAAGCTCTGCGTGCAAAACGGTTACTCGTACATCGATCAAATTTGTCATCAATGCGCCCTCCATTGGTTAGAAATGCTATTTACTAAACTGGAGTTAGGCTAATGAATTATTTTCCCAAGTAGCAAATTGGAAAAGCAAATACTCCCCAGTAAAGTATGTACCACTCTTTAAGAGACCCTATTTTGATTGTAGTGGCAAGTATATTAAAATTATAAGTGTTCAATCAATGTTCAATCTTTGTCCCATAATACTAACTTTCCTTTCTGTAAGCGTCTCTCCTTACTGCCCAAACCTTATTAATTTACTTTCCCGGCGTTCAGTCTGAATGAAGCACTGTTGCCATTTATAACAAAGCCACCTCTGGCAAATTAAACGTAAATTTGAATAAAGTAGACACTGATCAGTAGGAAATATCTCGATCCATATTACGGGTTACAGAAAAAGAATGTCCGACTTTCTGGCGAAAGAAATTATTACTGTTTCAATACCTAGGCTATACATTGCTCCCTCTGCCTGATTTCTTGAATGTGAAAAAGGGCGCGGATGTCAGACAGGCTATTCACTACCACATCCTCACCAAAAAGATCAAATTAATAAACTAATCTGAACGGAGGTGTTCTTTCATTCAAAGTTTATCTCTCTCTGTGATATCGGCCTTCTGCACCACAGCATACGTTTAAAGTACTCTTGAAATTTTGCCCCGCGAAAACCATAAATGATCGGGTTAAAACTTAAACTGCAAACAAACAGCAAATCAGAGACACTCTGAAAGTCGATATGTTTATCGTTACCTGACGCCTTCAACAGAAAAACAATCACAGTTGGGGTATAACCAGCCAAAAACCCCGCAGTTGCCAAGATCAGGGTAATAACAACTTTCTGTTTCTCCGATGCTGTGTGCCTGACTGTCTCTGGGTAGACTATGTTAGTAAAGTAAAGTCCTTTTATCACACACCAGTAACAGTACAACATGATCACGGTTTGTATACAAAAGATTGTGAGATTAATGAAAACATAAATTTTGCTTGCTTGATTCATGTGTAAACTCCACGGACCTGTACATTGTGAGTACGTCTCGCTCCATTCTTTAAGGAAGAATTCTGGGGAACATATTATGACGCTTGCGATCCAGATGGAAGCGACAGCGTGTTTGATGTTGTCGTTGCTCAATCGCAAACCAGTGTGAAAAGGTTTCAGTACAGCGTGATATCTTTCCACCGCAAGCAAAGTAAGAGTAATCGAAGAAACCATTATGGAGATTTCAATAAGGACAACAAGTTTGCAAACGAACTTTGCAAACTCAAAGAAATACAACGGCCACAGCAAAATTGTGATGACATCACTAAAGGCCACGCTCATTAAAAGAAAATTTGTCGGCGTTTTCATATCTTCCCTTTTGTGTATAATTCTTAAAACCAACACATTTCCGATCAATCCAATAACGAGAAATGGAATTCCCGTGTAAAATAGGATAAAAAACAGATCGAAACGTTCGTTCATTATGTCTGTCTTGTGGCTCTATTGAATGATTCAGGGAAAACGACGGAAAATAGGAAAATAGGATACTAGACAGTTTGAAGTCCGTCCAAAATTTCAGCGTCACCCATCACAACAAAACTTAAAAGATAACAGTTTATTTGAGCACGATGTATTAAAAAACCAGGGACGGTATATTACTTTCAGGGGTTAACAGCGGCTATACATATAGCAGGTGATAAGCGATAATAGAGTCTGTACGTGAATACAATATACGATTGATTTCAATAGGTTCATTCGGAGTTGCCCTCTACTTCACAGCGAGGCTAGGAGCAAAGTCATTTATATGAAAATGATTTTTTCTTCTCATGCAAATATGACTCCTCCTTTTTAAAGTGAGAGCTTTTGGAACTCGGAAATACGTGGAAATGGCCTATATTCTTGAAAGCTTCTTTAGCGTGACCTGTTAGGGTATATCATATTTGCAAACATCTTTGATGGCTGTCAAATTATTACAAGGTTTGAATAATCAGATTCACTTCCCCATTAAACGAAGAAATTGATAGAAAATAAGGCAGCTCGCAGCACTGTCTAAAAGAAATGAAAGGGAAGACCGCCGCTGTTCACGCGAAAGTTACTTCTGGAATTTCGAGATGTTGACTAATGTGGTTATTTGTGAAAGCAAAACATCGCACTGACAAAAGTTCCGTGAAGGGACAATATTTTGCTAGCCTGAAGCCAAGCCGGAGAGAATGTCGCGAAACCTCAAAGAAAGCTGTCAGTGAAACTTTTAACCCCACGGTGGTGAAAATATAAAAGCGTCAATTCCAAAGTTGACGACGGTTAAGGAAATAGTTTTTAAACAATATTATCAAAGTTCAGAGAGGTCAAGAAACCAAAGGGCTTTTTTATGTATACTAGTAAGACCCACTAGACAATAAGCCCATGTAAATTTTTTTGTGTTTTGTTTTGTTTGTTTGTTTTTCCTTTTTACATTAAGTTACTCTGTAACATGAAAATTTCAAATAAAAATTAATAAATTCCAAAAAAAAACATGTAAATTCTGTTATTCGCCACTTTCGAAGGGAACTGGAGCCGAAAATCGTCCCGCAATTGTTTTTGGAATCGTTACTGGGGACGCGCAGGTCAGCTATTGGCCAACTTTTTCTACGGTCCCAGAAGTCTTTGCAAAAGTTAACTCGGCCCAGTTTCCCTCTCATTTTTAAAGCGGCGAATTAACTGAGTTGTGACAATATAACATCGACCCAGGGCCGGAGGTTTTGTGTCTCGCGGTTTGAGTGAAAACAAGGGTTTGTGGGGGTTGCTCAGCCTCGCGGGCTCACAAAACCTCCCTTAGGTCGATCTTATTTTGCATTTGCCAATTAACTGAGTTGCGGTCACTTACCAGGTATCTTGATGGTGTCCTTCTCCAAATAACTCGGCAGGCACTTAA